CTGGATGGATGGATGGATGGATGGATGGATGGATGGATGGATGGATGGATGAATAGTCATGTTCCATCCCTCCATCTCTGGATCCAGGAGCTCCTCACATGTCTCCAGGCTCAGAAAACAGTGGATTTCTAACCCTTTAAAGCCTGATCCAAGAAAAATAGGAGGAATATTGGAGGATCTTTTTAGTCTGAAGTCTTTCTTTGGCCCCTCAACAACATATGAAGAAAAAAAAACAGAAATTATTTTGATCAAATTAAGTCAGAGTGCAATAAGTCAGAAATATATGTTGGTGTGGTCTTCTACTGGCTGTTATCAGGTATATCTGAATGTGTTCAACAGGGGTTTGAGCAAAGCTTTTACCACTGAATGATGCAGAAAGTCTCACATCCAAAAGAAACCGGATCAGATATGACACATTTGGACTTATAGGGTTAATCTGATTAAATGCTACTTCTTCTAAAGAACACTACTAATACACTACTTTTAAAGAACAATTTAAACGGGGAGTAAAAACGCTGCTGCTAATTTGTCTGAATGTTCCATCTGGATTTGTGGTCTAAATTATATTTTAAATTGTTGATATTTAAAAAATTGATATTTAAATTGGCACTAAATCCTGAACTATTCTGGCCGTTTGGGGGTCCTTAGATGAGAGATCTGGGGCTGAGACATCCTCCATTTCAGTGGCTTTTCAGACTTCTTCTTAACTCTCTGGAAAAGCAAACTTCTCTACAGCACATTTCTTCTCCACCTGCAGAATATCTGTCTGCTTCCATTTGATTCCTAACTTCAGGATTTACAGTTTTTGTAGGAAATCTGAGAATCCTGAAGGGAGCAATAGACTAATATCAAATGGATTCTTCTTCTATTTAAAGGCAAAGCAACAACAGTGAGAAAAAACTAATAATTTGAACTGTTTTTATAGGAAATAGATCAGATTTGTTCCATCATGGAAGTGACTCCATGTTGGATGGTCAGCAGGACGCTTTGAATTTGAGCAGATTTTTATCTGGACTGTTTCTCTGCCAGTGTATGAATTCATCTAAATGTATTTTTACATGTGTTTAAATCTATTTGTCCATTATCATTACCCTTTATTCCCCAATGGGGTCGCGGGGGAAAAATGGAGCCTAGTCTATTTATCTAATTGATTACAATTTTTTAGAATTATCCCTTTGGATAAATAAAGTATTTTTTAATTGAATTGAATTGGAATATTCATACCATGATACAGAAATATTGATAATCAATATTCTGTGTATAAGAGCTCATCCTGTCACCAAGAAACTCATTTTTCTGAACGTTATCAAGTCCAAGATTTTTTAAAGTTACAAAACTGTGTTCTGTGTCTCTTATTTCAGCCTGAATGTGGAACTCTTTTACTTCTCATAAATCGATCTTCGGCCCATTCTGCATTTATGTTTTTTTTTTTGTTTGAGTCAGACTGGACGCTCTCATTTACACTTTTAGACTTAGACTTAGACTTAGACTTTATGGATCCTTTGGGAAGATTCCCTCAGGAAATTAAAGTTACCAGCAGCTTACAGGGCAAAAAAGTGTTGAGTTAAATTAAATTAAATTAAGCAAATAAATAAATAAATAAATAAATAAATAAATAAATAAATAAATAAATGAAATAAAATAAATAAAATAAATAAAAATAAATACAAATACAAATACAAATACAAATAAATAAATGAAAAATACAAAAAACACAAAACACATACGAGACGCCCAGAGTACTGAACAGCTCTTTGTGCTTCTGAAGGATGTGAGATCACAGAGGCCAGTTTCTCCGGACTCCCTCTGATGGGGAGAATTATGACTTTTGCTAAGTTCAGAGTTAATGGAGGAGATCATCAGGGTCATCAGTGAGAGCTGGAATCTGGAATTCCAAAACTTCGACTTCTTTGTTAAACCTAAAAACCGGATCACACAATCTGCCTCTGACCTCTGACAGAGGGGGGGTTTCTCTTTACTCTCTTTGTTGTTTGATTTTATGCAAAGGCATTTTATTCTTTTGGTTTTCTCCAGAAACAGACATACAACTCAGTTATTCATAAAAATTATCATTCTGATTTGATTTGCTTCACATCTGTTTGGTTAAATATGAGATTTAAATACCTAAATTAATCCTAGTTTGCAAATTTGACATGTGCTGTTTGTTTATATTAGTAAATAACTACATTAAAAGTATATTTTCCTCCAGTGACTGTGAGAATAAGAGACGGATTATGTTGTAAAAGGATGTTTTGTAGCCAGAAAAATAATTAGAGATTAGTTTCCTTGGCGGTATGTTTTGTTTTTTACACAGGCCCGGGTTTAAAGTGTTAACTGGAACAGTATGAG